GGCATCTAAAGGGAGCCCTCCCTTGGCCATGTCTAGGCTGTACCTTTGCTCCTTTTGAGCTCAAGTCTGCCAGGCTTTCCCTCAAACCTGTGAGAGACCAATACATTTTCAATAAACTCTTTTCTGCTTGAGTAAACCAAAGTACATTTCTGTTATTTGAAATCAAGAACCTGACTAGTAGTTACATAGCTACCATTTATTGGGTATTTACCATTTTCCAGGCTCTGTTACAAGCACTTTACAAATATCATCTTCCGTAACCTTCATGATGGCCTTATGAGAACCCACCATTAATTCCTCCTTTTTCAGATAAGGAAGTTAGATCTCAGAGTTGTTAAATAGTTTGAATGGTCACAGAGATGGAAAGTGGTAGAGCAAGCCTCCAACCCAGGAATATGACTCCAAAATCTGTGGCTCTTAACCAGCACCATGACTCTTTCACTGCAGTTTCATATGGGATCATCTTTCAGAGTCACAAAATATAAAATGGTGGAATCTGGTTTTGACGTCAGAACTCTGTGACACAAAATCCCATGTCTTTTTTCCTCTTTATAATGAAGGCCAACAAGAGATTTCTTGATCTCATGTAGTCATATAAAAAGACTCACAAGTTAGATCATAAATGCTTTTGATTAGAATGTGTGAAAATCACGTTTGGAATGCATTCCATAAATAACCATATCCATTACAAATTTATTTATTAACTCTGAAATATCGTAATCACAGTGTTTTGACTTAGTGGGAACTAAAAATCATAACATGCTATATTCTCCAAGACATTATGAGAAATACCAAGATCCCTATCAGTAGTAGTCATCAATAAGTAGTCATTCCAGTTCATGTGGATGGAACAGCACTAAGGAACGAGGCCTCAATTCTACTGCGAGGAGTTGGAATAACTCTAGGTCCCTTTTAGCACTGATGCTTGATTTGTCTATATGAATATCGTCTTAGTTTCAACCTGACCTGATCAACAGCAGCACTGTTCTTAATTTCAGAAGATGCATCTTCAACCTAAAAATGTGATTGGGTAGACCAGGAGAAAAATCGAGGGGCCTAAGGAAATAAATTAATTCAGAATTTGCATTCTGCAGCACCCACTAATAACCATCACAGGGGAAGGGACAGATTCCATTTTGCTTTCTTCAGCATTCCCAGTATTTATAATAATCCCTTGTACATAGTAGGTAATAACTAAATAACTAAAATGAGTATCTGATAAATGAATTAACAAAGTGTTAATCCCCCCCACTTTCAGCTTTAAACCAGGTACTAAAATTTCTCTCCTTTTGCTCTTTCTTCCCTTGACCCTTAAGGAGTATTGAAA